TCTCTCCTGTTTCCTGACCCACTAGATTCTATGTTGTATTTTTTTCTAAACAGTATTTATTGCAATATAACAACAAAGGGGAAGCTAAATATCAGCCGCCAACGCTGTTTTTATTTCTAAGTGTACCTATGGGACCCACATAGATCCCGTAAGCATTCTAAGAAAATAAACACTTGGGTGGATGTGGCACAGAGTTTCCTGGAAAGATTCCCACACATAAAGGGAAGAACAAAACACAACGTAGGTGGCAAGGAGGAATCTCACCAGCTTCATCCATTCATTCAATTTATGTATTACTGGCAAATGGCTGCTTTATGGTGTTTTATCTCTCTGGTGGTATTCAGCAGGTTCTGACCAGTTCTGGAGAACCAGTAGCCGAAATTTGAGTAGTTTGGAGAACTGGTAAATACCACCTCTGGTTGGTCCCGCCCCCAACCATGCTCTGCCTCCCGAGTCCCAGCTGATTGGCTGAGTCTTCTTTGGTTGCCCTGCACAGGAGAGCGGAGCTGGAAAGCAGGTTAGTGGGGTGGGGAAGGAATGGAGATTTTGCAGTAACCTTCCCCTGCCACCCCCACCAAGCCACACCACCCCCAGTAAAAAAAAAAAATTAAATCCCACCACTGCTTCAGTTGCCACTTTGTAGCCTACTTCAAAAATTGCAAAGGCACCAACAGCTCTTTAAAAATAAATCCACTCGGCGCGCATTTGAAAGGCACACTCTGTACCGTAGGAGATGACCGGGGAGAGGTCAGGCAGGTCATCAGTCTAAAGTCTTTTCGCACCCACAAGAGATCTAAGTCCAGCCCATTTTGAATTCTGTTGACTCTTATCCATCACCTATTTGTTTGTTGACTGTTAGTAGTTTAGATTCTTGTAGAGAGTGTTAGCATGCAAACAACCTATAGCTATTTGAACCGCCCTGCTTCCTGATTCATTGCACCTGACATACGAAGCAGGGATTTTTATGTATTCTGCAGTTTTCAAAAATTATATATTTGAAAAAGAAGGAAAAAAGGCTGCTTTGTGATTAACAGGCTGTAGGTTTCCTTGCAGACAGGATCAGTTGATTGATAGATTTTTACCTTAAGGCCTGCAAATGGGATGCTCATAAATAACAATGACTTTGCTTTCCCAAAGGTGCTTTTTTCAAAGCTTTCTAGCTTTTCTTTGAAGACGTTTCGCTTCTCATCCAAGAAGCTTCTTCAGCTTTGATAACTTTATTACTTTGCCCAGAAATAGTTTAATGGAGAACTAATTCCCTGGCTTGTAGGGAGAAGATTTGTGCCACGGCCAAGAAAGGTCTTTTCAAGTGAAGAGAGCTTTAGTTAAGGCAGTGCTCTTGTCCTACTTTGGCAATAGATGGAAAGAAATACCCCTTTTCCCAGCTGGATCGCATACTTTTGTTTCCAGACTCTGGGATTTATCTAGCACAGGGGTCTTCAAACTTGACCACTTTAAGACTTGTGGACTTCCACTCCCAGAATTCTTCCTGCAGTCATGTTAGTTCAGGAATTCTGGGAGTGGAAGTCCACAAGTCTTAAGGAAGAGGATTCCTCCATCTGTGTGTGATTTGTAGAATGCTGGCTATCACTCTCATTAGTTATATACCTGGCTTTCTAGACATAAATATTAGTTTGTTAGAGACCAGCGATAAAACAATGGTTTTCTTGTAAGTTCCATTTGTAGGCTTTCTCCAGGCTCCTTGGAATTCAGAAGTGGTGGTTAAAATCCTGGAAGATACCATACTGGACAAAGCTGGTTGTAGATCACGATATGAAAGCTACTAAATGTGGATCCTCAACCACCCAACATAGTATTTTCCAGATGAGAAGGATGGTTTGTTTGAATGCAGTTACTAAGCTGATATTCTCTTTATCATTTCCTGAGTCTTCCTTGGCTTGACACCTAATTGTAGCATTATTGACGTCTGTTAATCAGCCATTTGGATGTGAGAAACATTTTAGAGCAACTTTCAGCCCCATCAGGAAAGGAAATCAAGGAATTACGTCTCCATTTGGCTTCATTCCCATATATTTTTGCCAAGAGAATAGTAACCAAATCCTTCCCCCAAGCAAAAATACAAGCATTAGCCTCACCAATCTTTCAGCAGATATTATAGCAACGTATCTATCCTTTATCCTCCTTTCCCATCCCCCCACTTTTTTTCCATGTTGGGAAAACCTCGACCAAGTCAGTAACTCTTGGCAACTTCCATGCAGTCGGATTTTACTCCTCAAACCATAGAGTCCTTGGTGCTTTCTGAGCTTGGCTGTTTTCTTACAGATGGTGCTTTACCCAACTAAGCAATGTCCTCAGTGCACCGATGACGTTACCTAGATGGGTAATGAAAAGTCTGCAAGAAAACTACCAAAGCACAGACAGCACCAAGGACTCAACAGTTCAATCTTTAGCTGCAAATGTTCTTTTCTATTGATTCCTCAGCCCTTCAGAATCATTTCCGAAAATCTGCATAATCCTCATCAGGCAGAGAACCGACTGAAGAATCCTGGGGAGCATTTCCACTGAGCAACAATAGGAATGCCAAAAGCAATAGCCAGCCAGCAACTTACTTCCCACCCACACACACACACAGTTTAATCCATCATTTTTTTAAAAAAAAACAGTATCACTGCAAAGGAGGATGGCAATGCCACCTCTCTGTTCTGTTGGAGAAAACATCGTAAGAATAGCATGGCATATTTAGAGCACTTCAAGCCGTAGAAGAGGAAGGGGATTTTGGAGGCACGACAAGACACCGGCTTCTCCAGTGACAAAGTGTTCCCTTTAAGCTTTGTGTTTCTGCTGCAAAACTGCGTACACAGCAATTCTTTTTCCTTGCATTATAGTTGACCCAGAAATTAATCAGTTCAGCTGCCGAAGACAGAGAGCCAGGCTAGCATACGGTACAGGAATGCATTCTGACCTCTTGGCTAAAACATGTTGCAATTGGTAATGCTCCCTTTTGCTTATGAACCCCAATTTTCCCAAACTTTTCGGGGAATTTAACATTTCTGCCCCATAGGCCAGTGGAGCTTACAAACTGGAGGAAAGGATGCTATCTTTTATCATCATCCTCTCTGCTTGGCTCACTGTCAGAAGTAAATACTTTGCTTAAAACACCTTGCTTTTCAGAGAGGTTCAACAAGGAAAAAATCGGCAAATGGCTTAAGGGCTCTCACCTCTTCACAAAACATAGAATTATAGAGCTGGAAGGGACCTTGGAGATCATATAGTCCAACGCCCTGCTCAAGGCAGGAGAACATACACCATCCCGGTCAAATGGTTGTACAGTCTACTTTTGAAAACCTTCAATGATGGAACAACTCTGGGATGGAACAATGATGGAACAGCTCTGGGATGTAAACCTTTCCATTGACTAATTGTTCTCGCTGTCAGAAAATTCTTCCTTATTTCTAGGTTGGATCTCTCTTTAACCAGTTTCCATCTTTAGTATGTCTTGTTCTACTTTCTGGTGCTTTGGAGAATAAGTCAACCCTCTCACCTCTGTTGCAGCCCCACAACAGAGGCGGTGTTCAGCAGGTTCTGACCAGTTCTGGAGAACTGGTAGCAGAAATTTTGAGTAGTTTGGAAAACCACCTCTGACTGGCCCCGCCTCCATCTCTTCTCCGCCTCCCATTGAGTCCCAGCTGATCGACTGGGACTTCTTTTGTTGCCCTGTACAGGAGAATGGAGCTGGAAAGCAGGTTAGTGGGGTGGGGAAGGGAATGGGGATTTTGCAGTATCCTTCCCCTGCCATGCCCGCCAAGCCATGCCCACAGAACCAGTAGTAAAAAAATCTGAATCCCACCACTGCCCCTCAAGTACTGGAAGATAATTATTGTTGTGGTTTGCCGGCAGCAGGTGCGAACAGCTGAGGTCTTGGAGAGCGAGGACTCAGATGAGGGGCCTGCGTGTGATGCAAGGATGGGGCCAGGACCATCAGGGAGTGGAGTGCTGCCTTCGGGGATTGTGGAGGCTGGTAGCAGTGATGAAGAGGTCCCTGAGGAGCCTGTGCCCAGTGCGCATGCGCGCAGGGCTGCTCAAAGAGCAGCTGAAGCAGCACGGGCGACTTGGGAGTAAGGCTGCAAGGTAATGGCCCCTCCCTTAAGAGATACAAGCCAGGTGAGAAACTGGAGTTCTTTGCAGGAAGCAAAGAAGTTGTTGCACTTCAAGCTTTGTGGCAGTCCGGACTATCTTGGTTTGTATTTGAAGACTTTTTGTTTGGAATATTTCTTGGCAACTTAATCTAGTGCTTTTGGCAGCCTTGCACAACCTTGGCAAGGCTCGTTCTTATCAAAGACAATTAGTTTTTAACCGTGAATTAACGGAATTCGCAGAGAAGCATTAGAAGGTTTTGCTTTTATCTCTGTTTGGTGTTTGTTTCCTTGGAACAAGGTTTGGGTCACAACAGTTATCCTTCTCTTCAGTTGATTAGACATACCGAGATCCCTCAGCTGCTCACCATACAATTTAGCCTCCAAACCTGTTGTCACCTTTGTTGCTCTTCTCGGCACACTTTCTATGTCCTCGGCATCCTTTTTGTATTGTGACCACTAGAGCCACTAGTGTGGCTTCACTAGTGTGGCATAAAGAGGCATTATCAATTCTCATGATCTTGATGCTGTCTCTCTATTGTTGCAGCCCAGGGACTGCGTCTGATTTTTTGGGCGGCTGCAGCACACAGCTGGCTCCTACTTAAGTGGTGGTCCATTAGGGCATTTAGATCTCTTTCGTAGCTGCTACAATTGAGCCAGATGCCGCCCATTCTGTACCCAGGCATTTCTCAGAACAGCATCTCCCAAACTATCACCCTTGTCCTGCAAGAAACCTTGCATTGAAAGGACAGGCGGTCCTCGACTTACAACCATTCGTTTAGTAACCGAAGTTACCACTGCCCTGAAAAAAAAGTGGCACGATCAATTTTTCACACTTAAAGACCACTGCAGCCTTCCCGAAGTCATGCAATCAAAATTCGGATGCCTCAAAATTTGGCTGGGGAATTCTGGGAGTTGAAATCCACAGATCTTAAAAGGTTCTGAGATTGAGAAACGCTGTTTTAGAAGGCAAGGAGAAGCATGCCCTTTTAACAGAGCAGCATGGTCCTGAAGAAAGATTTTCCTCCCTGCATCGGTCAACTATTGGACAAAAAAGGTGGCCTGAGGACACCATGATTTCAGCATATTCAGATTGTTTCACCTTCCCAAAAGACATCATGTTTTACTCTTTTTTAAAAAAAATTCTGCCTCTGCTGAGAAGCAGGGAAATAACAAGCAACTTGAAAATACATCTTTTGTTTGATTTCACCACCTGCAATTCTAGCTAATGGTCAGGAGAAGCCAATGTAGATTAGGCCCTACAGGTTTTGAAACAATATTCCCCATCCGTGTCAAAACACCAAAGCCAGTAAATATTTCTGTCTCTGATCTGAAAAGAGATGGCTACCCAAGGCACTCAAGAAAGAGCTGTTTTGTGCAAAACTTTATTGATACTGGTAAAACCCAATAAAGACTGAACATTCCTCTGGTACCACCCTGGCTACCAGGGAGACTTTCCACTTTTTAAAATCCAAAGTTCGAAGGGCATCGGATGCAGTGAACCCACCCCAAAATCCGGCAATAGCGCCAATAGCCTAGAGCAAGCAGTGAGTCCAGCATGGCTGGTGTCGTCTTCTCCAAGCACTTTCCCAGAGAGCAGCAGTGGGCTTTCTCCCCGGAGCTAGTCCCTCTCCAGTTGCCGGTACTTTTTCCGTAGCACAGAGACCTGATCCTTGAAAAGCACTGGGTCCAAGCGGAACTGCGAATGCACCAGAGGCATGTAGCCAAACCAGGCAGCAAAGCGATTGACACACTCCTGGCGTTGAGCGAAATGCAGGCTGCTGTTGGATGGGGCTGCACTTTTCAGGAGCTTCAGAAACCGAGAGAAAGAGATCGAGCATCATTATGACGGATGTTTAGATATATATAGATTTTTATCGCACCTTTATTACTTTATAAATAATTCAATATACATTATACCCCTGCTTCTTCCCATTTTCCACACAACAGTCCTATGAGGTGAGTTGGGCTGAGAGTTCAAAGTCACCCAGCTAGCCTTCATGTCTCAGACGGGACTAGAACTGACAGTCTCCTGGTAACTGATCCAGTTACCCAATCGGCTTTCATGCCTAAGGTGGGACTAGAACTCAAAGTCTCCTGATGATTGGCCTAAAGTCACCCAGCTGGCTTTCATGCCTAATCCTATTAATCCTCCAATCCTTCCTTTCACCCATCTCCTCCCACTTATGACTGTATGACTGTTTCCTAGTATGATTTGATTGCTTATTGTACCCTATGACTATTATTAAGTGTTGTACCTGATGATTCTTGACTCTTGACGAATGTATCTTTTCTTTTATGTACACTGAGAGCATTTGCATCAAGACAATTTTCTTGTGTGTCCAATCACACTTGGCCAATAAAGAATTCTATTCTTTTATCTAAGGCAGAACTAGAACTCATGGTCTCCTGTTTTTTAGCCAACACCTTTACCATTACACAAAATGACTTTCATTTCAATTTCAGGCACATTGTTAAAGATTGAAATTCTGAATTGACAACAAGTACAACTGCCCTGTTTTGCTTTCCATAGTGAGTGCTTCCTTGTACCAAAGCTCATACAGTTTTTTAATTCAAATTCTGGATAAGGATGAGAAAAACAATAGCTACCTTTTACTGTTGTTTTTCAACAACTGGCTTTGAGAGGTGAACTCCTTCTAAATAGGGAGGTTTTCACATTTCTGTGTATCATCCAGCTGCCATAAAAGCTTCATGTATATACCCCTATCGAAAAAGTGCTCTTGGCTCACAGGTTCTCCACACTGGACAATTAACTCAGGTTCAAAAGAGCCACATGGACCTCTCTGCTAGGTATGGATTCCAAAGAGTAGCACAAATACGGATGGTCAATCTGCTATCCTTTAAATCGGTGTGTCAATTCCCACCGTCAGTAGCCAATATTGCTATTATGGAAATGAAATCCTCACACCTCCAGAGGACACCAAATGGGAGAAGGTTGGCCTAAGTCAGTGGTAGCTAACCTTTTCGTGTGCACTTGCATGTCAGCACCCAGAAGGCAATGCGTGTGTCCCCCCATGCCCCCTACGCGTGAGCGTACAATCCCCCCCTCCCACGCCACCCCCTTATCTGCACTGCACCTCCCAGCTGATTTTTGGCCCATTTGAGACCTTTTTTGGCCTCCCAGAGGCTTGAGGAAAGCTTCTGCAGGCTTTGCAGGCCGAAAAATGAGCCCATTTCATCACTTCCGGTATTTCCGGAAATACAGGAAGTGACTCAACGGGCTCATTTTTCGGCCTGCAAAGCCTCTGGGAGGCCGAAAAAGGCCTCAAACAGGCCAAAAATCAGCTGGGAGGTGCGCGCATGTGCAGTGAGGGTAGTTTGCCTGCAGCTGGCGTGCTGGCACAAATGGCTCTGCGTGCCACCTGTGTACCATAGGTTCGCCATCACAGGCCTAAGTCATATTTAAAGGGCGTCAAGAAGTTTTGGAGGAAAAAACCTTCAAGACAGGAATAATTCTTTCCCTTTTCTCCTCTGCCCCTTTGGTTCCCATGCGTGTCTGCCTACCTGCTGAGGTGGGCTCTCCCTGAGATGTTTCTTCTGGGTCACTTTGATGGGGGGCAATTTGGTTACAGCAGAAACCAAAAAGTTCATCAATATGTCCTCACAGTTGGCAATCCGATCAACAAAGCTCCTTAGTTTAGCGGGCAAATAGTTGCTGAAGAGGCTGTGATAGTACCTGTGGAAGGGAAACACAAAGGTGGGAAGAAAGAAGATCCCTGCAGAAATGTGTAGGCCTCCCATCCTCAACCTGCTCCCTCCAGGTGTGTCTTCTGCACCACAATCTGCTTTTTTTAATCATCCCAGAATGCACAATTTAGAATGTTCTGGTTGAATATTAGGCTACTTCTAACGTGTCCCAAAGGTGCTTTTTCAAGAGGCAACTGGACTTTCTGGTTTTTCTTTGAAGATGTTTCACTTCTGAAGAAGCTTCTTGGAGGAGAAGCGAAACATCTTCAAAGAAAAACCAGAAAGTCCAATTGCCTTTTGAAAAAGCACCTTCGGGACAGTCATATGTCAGAGAGACATCCACGGGGATTCCAGCACTGAGCAGGAAGTGGATTTGATTGCCTCAATGGGCCCTTTCCAACTCAAGGACGCTCTTCAGTCAGGAAGGGTACCTGTGGTAGAATGCCGCGGCAGTGAGAACCATAGAGAACTCGTTGGTCCATTTTGAAGTGTAGCTCCACTGGTTCTTGCTCGTATCCCAAAAATGGCTGCGCATTGGGAAGCCTACAATCCGGTCGGGGAACTTTCTCCATACAACAAAGGCAAAGTCAACCTAAAAGGTAAGGAAGAGAACAGGGAAACAGTTTGAGGAAAGAGAATCTTTCGCCAGAAGGCTTCAGATTGTCTACATGTCTTCTACTTTCGAATTATATTCCTTCTTTTTTTCCCGAGGAGCATAATCTCTAGAGCAAGGGATATCCAATCTTGGCAATTTTAAGACCTATGGACTTCAACTCCCAGAGTTTCTCAACCAGAATGGCTTGCTGGAGAATTCTGGGAGTTGGTGTCCACAGGTTCTTAAAGCTGCCAAGACGGGACACCGCCTGCTCTACATGTTAGCTCATGATAGTAATGATATCCACAATTTGTATCCGGTTAGATATCTTCTGTGATCCAGAAATTTCTAGAATTCCTACTGCTAGTCATGCTGATGGGGCATTCCAAAAGTAGTAATGAAAGTTGTCAGGTTGGGAAAGTTTCACCCATTCTCACCAGCAGTGATTCTCTAGGATCAGCCACAGTCTCTGCTAGCCAGTTCTGGAGATGGCACCAATTAAAGCTAGAACCTTTTGCAAGCAGACCATGCAAAGATTACTCATCGTTCCCTTTCCAGATCTAAACAAGCATTTTACAATGGGGAATCAGAATTGGATAACTAAAAGACATCAGAATTCCATATTTTAGTCTATATATGTAATTCCTTTCCCCCTATTTTTCTATGTCGACCAATTTACATTTCAATCATTTCATTTACAATGCAGGTATATAAATATGTAGGCTTACAACATATGCTTTGTCAAATAGGTTTGTGTGTGTGTGTGTGTAAAGAGAGGGAGGGAGGGAGTGGGGGAGAGAGAGAGGGAGGGAGAGAGAGAGGGAGAGGGGGGGAGAGAGGGAATGAGAAAGAGGGAGGGAGAGAGAAAGGGAAAATGGTGTTTCTCAAGGATCCCTAAGTCCCTCTGAGCCAGGATAGCTGCAGCAGTGGACAGACTGTTTGTCAACTGTCCCAGGATCTAGGCCTTGCCCTGCGTTTAAGTAGTCATATGTCCCTTCCTGTATGCAAAGTCCATGGCTACAACACAAGTAGAAAGATTCTGGAGAACCTCCTCACCTCACTGGTTGAAAGGCTGGCATATTCATCAAGGCTCAATACAGCATCCGTCCCAATAGCAGAATAAGGCAAAAACCGTTCGCTGACCTGCAGGAGTAGAAACAAGAAACAAAAAAGTTGACCTTCTGTCACCCCTTCAAGAAAGAGCCAGAGAAGGAAATCAAAGTCATGTAAAACAATGCTACTTTTATTGCAAAGATATAGGAGAGCCAGCTTGGTCTCTAGTGGTTTAAGGTACCAGGCTAGAAACCAAGAGTCTGTGAGTTCTAATCCCACCTTAGCTATGAAAGCTGATTTGGTTGACCTTGGGCCAATGGTCCTCAGCCCAACCCACCTCACAGAGTGGTTGCTGCAGGGAAAATAGGAGGAGGAAGGTGTGCTCGATATGTTCACCGTCTTGAGTTATTTGTAAAATTATTAAAAATGGGAGATAGATAGAGAGAGAGAGATGATAGAGAAAAGGTGGGATAATCTTACAAGTCTGAATGCACTTTCTCCCACTCCGTCTTATCTTTGTGAGAACTTGGGGTGGACTTGTCTGAGATGTTTCCTCAGGTTACTTTTCTGCTTTCTTTCTGCTGTTGGTAACTATTTCCTCCCACCAGGATACTTCTTTTGAAAATTGGAGAGCAAGAAAAATCAAGAGGAAGATTTACTCTTGTCCTTATGTTGGTCTTTTGTTGAGTGTTTGGAAAATGCACATTGAAGGATGTGCATTTGAAGGATCATTCAACTGGCTTTGAATGATAGGTGAACAAGGGTGTTTAGAAAGCTGGATTCCTGCTGGAATGTGGGTCTCAGCTGATTTTTGCCCAGGTCTTTCCTTCCTAAAATGTTTTCCATGACAATTGCAACCACAATCTGCAAAACTGACAATGGGCCACAAATTTTATGTATTGTAATTTTAGTATAGTTAGACCATGTATAATTGACCGACTGGATTTTTATCATAGATTTTAGTTATTATTTATTATTTTATACTAGAATTTTTTTAACTGTATATTTACTGAGTGTTTTTATTTGTTCTGGTCTCTGGTCTATGACTGTAATAAACTGAACTGAATTGAAAACTGAATCTCCATGGCCTCTTACCTTGTTGCTGCTTAAAATGACAGTCAAGGGAACTGTGGTTGGCGGCCATTTCTGTGGTGGTGGCTTCTCACAGTTCCATAAGACTAAAATCTGTACGAGAAACAGAAATGCTAGCTGAAACGTGCAGCAGAACAACTTTCTTCATTTTGTGGACCCATGCATATTTGTTTGTTCCTTCTGCAACTTTATCTGGCCACCCATCTTAATCAATTAACTCTGGGCAGCCAACAAGGCTTGCAAACAAAAACATACGTATTTAAAAGAATTAAAAGATGCCAGAGAAAAATAACCAATTGCTCAATTCATTGCAGAGCATAGCATATAAACAAATCAAGTCTTGCTAGCATCCTGGCTCTAAATTCAGAAGGGAAAGCCAGATTTATAAGGCCTTTCAAAAGGCACGAAGTGGGTTTAGGTGAAGAGGTAGAGAGATACTTCATTTTCTCCAGAAACGATATCATCCCGAAGCCCCAGATTCCCCTAAAAATCAGACTGGATTTTTTTAGGGGCAGGGGGAGCTTTTAGGAGTTAAACGAGTGCCTTAACTCCATCCACTTCTTGTAACCCACCAACAAAACTCCAGAAAACAAGCAAAACCGCTGAACTTTCTCCCTGACATCAAACCTTCCTGCTCACTCTCTAACGCCAACCAAATTCCAACTCAGGCTAGAGGAAAAAATGTTCATCTAAGGTGTTATAAGCAAGCACCCTCTCTCATCGACAGCAAGACCCACGCTTCTTAGCCAACCGGGCCTATTGGCAGCCTGCTTGGGGATTATGGAAGCTGAAATGCATCTTTGGGCATCCTTGGGTTGGAGTTGGACTGGGTACCGTAAAGAGGCAGAAGACAGAATTTCATGAAGACGATCTTAAAAGCACGTTTTTGGTTTCTGCTGCAAACACCTCCAATGGTACGTCTCCTCCCCATTAGTGGGAAGGAACAAAGCCCATTGGCACAGAACCTCATTGAAAAGGGCAGGAGCCGTGCCAAAGCCCAAGAGCTCTGCTTATTTCTATGGGTCTTATATAAGAAAACACGCAGACGACTCTTGTTGCGCTAAATCTGCCTTGTTTGAACTGTGCTGCAGTACAAACAGTACCTCCTGCACGGATCCTCAAAGCCGCCCTCTTTGGGGTGGTCTTTTGGTTTTGTCTCATCACCAGACTGCCTCGGGAATTTCAGCTTGTACAATTTTCCTCCCCTGCTTGGCAAGCCGCCCCAATTCCCCCTGCTTTTAAACGGCAACTGGGGTTTGGAAGCAAGTATTCCACTGTGCAAATGCTGCCACGTTTTGGCTCCGGAAGGTTGTTCTCAAGCCAGCATTTTAGGTTCATAGGAACGGTTGACCCCAAAATCTTAATGGTTTCCTGCAGCAAATCTAAATTATACAACCAAGGAACAGCTAAAAAGTTGCTCCAGTAAATGAATTTCATATTTGCTTGTCATAAGGAAAACTGCAGAGACGTTGATCTTTCTTAATGAAATTTTCCCACTTGATATATTTGAGATCTTTCTCCTAAACCGTTTCCTAGGTGTGTGGTGTGAGTCCTTTTAGCAGCAGCACTGCGAACATGAAAAGCCCGCAACTATGAAGCTCTTATATTTTCAGCATACATGTTTTGGGGCTTTGCCTTTCCTTCCCTATCCTATTTCCAGGGCACAATGGGCTGTGTTGTTCCATTTTTGTCCCCATAAAACCAGGCTGTGCAATTGAGAGACAGACAAAAGACATTCATATACTGATGGTGTACTAAAACGAGACTTGCAATTTCTCTATCGCTTTCTTTCATTTGGAAAGAGGTTTCTGTTTTCTTGCCTTATTCCCTGTTGCTTGAGAATTCCCTTCCAAGTTTTCTTTTGGAGCATTGGTGGAATGGCGGAAGATACAAACGATTAAGCGAGGATCTCACATAACCGTGACCTCCAACTTTCAACTTCCTGCCGTCTTCCCCATTGACTTTGCTTATGGGAAACTGGTAGGGAATGTCAGAAATTACAATCATACGATAGTGGGGATGCTGCAAATGCTGGAACTCCAAGGACTGGTCATAAATCCCCTTAGTTTAGTACCGTCATAACCTCGAACAGTCACTGAACAAATGCTCATAACCCAAGGACTACCTGTACTTTTCTTGTTGTGTGCTTTTCCATTAAGCGTTTTTTTTCCTCATCATTCCGAAGCCGCCTTGCCTGTTTGCAATTCCCAACCTCAAAACGCCTTAGAAAAAGAGTCCCTCCCAAACTGTCCCTCTGGGATTCAATGTAATCATGGGAAGCCGGGAAGCAAACAATGTTTGGAGACATGACTCTGCTACGAAAGACGGGGCATTCACGTATTCCATTGAGTGCCTCCGTTCTAAACAAATGCAAGGCCACCACACTGTATACAAGAGAATGTTTGTAGACATATTCCTGATTTCCTCCAATTGAATGAGAAATGGTTTTTAAAAAGGCAGGATTTGGCAGTAATTCATACTGTGGGGCAGAACAATTGCCACTCAGCCTCTCCAAAAGGAAACTCAAGCCTTCATTGTTGTTGTTGTTTTCGTTTTTCCTTTCTTTCTTCCGCCTCTGAATTAACTTTTTGACTCCTGGCAAGTAAATAGACAGGTCTCTGCAGTTTTCTGGGCAACATTTTTAGAAGCAGATTGCCATTGACTTCTTCCCAGGGCTGAGATGTAATAATTGGCCTCAACGCTGGAACTCCCAGCTTCCACCCAGCACCCTTAAGCAGAACCCCAAACGGGTTTCTATATAATGCACTAGACTACCCACCAATGCATGTTTCCTTGGTACTTTCGTTGAAATAGACTGGATCTTTCCTTCTAAAGCAGACAAGCTACAAGGACAATGTGCTTAGGCTCCTGTCTTCACAAACTTAGAAGACTCTATTTACTGCCACACATTTTGAAATGCTCAGGATGGGCGCGGCCTAGTTAGCTGAGCTCATCTGCAGTAGAGACCTGGCTGTTGACAGGACTTGCCCTGTAGTTAAAGGGGAAGGTGAGACCTGCTGACAGCAATAAGGGTTTCTAGCCCACCCAGGTGTATCCTAAGGCTGCCACACCCGCCACAACCCTCTGACATCCAAAGGAATGGAAAAGGCACAAGAGCTTGGTGGGATTTTGTACAGCGCAACTCTGAAAGATCACACCTCCTAGCAATCTTCACAACAAGAGGTGTGAATGACAACGTAGAGGTTGTAGTCCAAAGCATCAGAAACCCGGATTAAGAATGTAATAGCAAGGAGATGAGAGCTGTTATTAAACGTGAGAGTGATGGCAAAGAGACGATAGAAAATTGAGATACAGATAGTCCTTGAGCTACAACAGTTAATTTAGTGACATTCAAAGGCACTGAAAAATGCAACTTATGACCGTTTTTCATAGTTACAATTTTGGCACCATCCCCATGATCAACTTCATGCGATTCCCCTTTTGTGACAAGCACAGTCAACGGGGAAGCCAACAACCGTGTTACTAACATAACAACCATGTTACTAACCAACGGCATTGATTCTCTTAGCAACCAGGGCAAGGAAGGTCATAAAATGGGGCAAAGCCCATTTAACAAATGTCTCACTGTGATCGTAAGTGGAGGACTACCTATATTGTCCTGCTACATGTTTTAGGCGGCGATAGATCATTTTTCACGTTCTTCGATATAAAACTAGCATGTTTGTAGAGGTAGTCCTGGACTTACAAGCACAACTGGGGGCAGAACTTCCATCTCTATGCTAGGCAGTCGTTAGGTGAGATCCGCCCAACTTTACATTCTTTTCTGCAATGGTTGTTAAGCAAGTCACTTGTGCAATTGTGAAGGGAATCATGCAGTCATTAAGCAAATTCAGCTTCTCCCATTGATTTTGCTTGTCAGAAGCCAGACAGGAAAGTTACAAATGGAGAACATATGACCCCCACTGCTTAGGACACTGCAATCGTCATAAATACACGCCTGTTGCAAAGCGCCCACCGTTTGTTCGTGTGATTGCGGGGGACGCTGCAACCATCCACACTGCAAGAAACAGCAAGAAACTCCTTTACCTTGGCGCAGTATTGGGATCTGGAGACAGCCTGAGTGAGCTTGAGGATGGGCTGAGAAAGGGAGGTAATTGGTGAGACGGCCCAGATTAACGCCGTAAACTTCTCGGAGGGGCTGGATCCTGTTAAGAGAGAGAACGGGTGAGTCTTGTAACCTTCTTCCAAACCTGTCTCGGGTTTTGGCTCACCTGCTGAAGTTCAATCCCCATCTAACCAATTATCGTTAGTGGTTTATTTAGTGCTGCCGGCTTACATGACATTTCAGAAGATAAAAGAAGTCAGGTCTCCACCCACAGGAAAATTGCAATTCAGATTTCACTGCCAATGAAAACAGTAGGAAAAAAAAATACCCAGGAGGAATTAAGGCAGATGAAACAGAGATAACATGAGTGACAATTTCAGATGTGTTCTTTTACAGGAGTCCACAATGTGGTTCTAATGGACACCAATCTACCTCATCAGTCTCTAATGGACACCAAACTACCTCATCAGTCTTTATTGTTTTATCCGTTTATATTTTACAGTTCCTCGACCAGAGGAGTCTCCAAACTTGGCAACCTTAAGACTTCTGGACCTCAGCTCCCAGAATTCTTTTGGAGTTGATGTCCACAAGTCTTAAACTTGCTAACTTTAGAAACCTCTGGTCTAGCCCTTCAAGGAAGCCTAGGTGAGGATCTCCCTTCACTTTAACCACAAAGAGTTGTCGAAGATAGACGGAGTGAGGAAAAGTGATAGGCCCAAGATCTCCCCAGGAATGGCTGAGACGGCAGCGGGACTCCAGTTCTAATCCAACACCTTGATGACTCTATAGCAAGCCCCCCCGCTTTAATTTAATCCTGCATTACCCCTCCTTCTTAAAACACCAGGTTGCTCCCCATGAATCTTAGAAGCTTTCTGGTAAATAAAAAGAGTGCATGGGTATTGCTCTTTTGCTTTGCCTGGACAGTTCCTCATCTGCCTTGATTTTTTTTAAAAATCATTCAACTATTTGAACTTTACATTAAAGCAGAGGTGACATTCAGCAGGTTCTGACCAGTTCTGGAGAACCAGTAGCAGAAATTTTGAGTAGTTTGGAGAAACAGCAAATCCTACCTGGCCCCGCCCCCATCTCTTCTCTGCCTCCCGAGTCCCAGCTGATGGGCTGAGTCTTCTTTGGTTGCCCTGCACAGGAGAACGGAGCTGGAAAGCGGGTTAGTGGGGTGGGGAGGGAAGGGGGATTTTACAGTATCCTTCCCCTGCCACACCCACCAACCGCGCCCACAGAACCGGTAATAAATTTTTTTGAATCCCACCACTGCATTAAAGTATTCGACTTCCTCAGGTCTGGAAGAAGCAGCTTGCCTTTTGCAGAATAGATGGCTTATGACTGTCATGCCACAGGTAGTCCTCGACTTACGACCACAATCGAACCAAACATTTCTGCTGCGAGACAGTTGCTAAGTGAATTTTGCCCCATTTTGTGACCTTTCTTGCTGCTGTTGTTAAGTGAATCACTGCAGCTGTTAACTTAGTAACACGGCTGCTAAATGAATCCAGCTTCCTCATTGAAGGTCACAAAAGGGGATCATATGACCCCGGCTCACTGCAATCATCGTAAATATAGAACCAGTTGCCAGGCATCTGAATTTTGATCACATGACCCTGGGGGATGCTGCAACGAGCATAAGCGTGATAAACAGTCACAAGTCCCTTTTTTCAGTGATGTTATGAGTTTGAACGGTCACTAAAATGAACGGTTGTAAGTTGAGAACCACCTGTAGCTGTTCGGTGACAATGCTCCGTTGCTCAGGATGCCCTGCTGAGACCCCAGGCATTCCTACCAGCCTCCCCAAAGAGGGAATTGGGGATGACAGAGACGGATGTGTCATTATCTATTTCATTCCATCCTCTCTCTACTATGTGGGTTTCTCCCTTTTGATTTCTCTCCCAGGGGCCTGATTGTAAGCTTCTTGGGAGTCGAGGCTGTTTCCCTGTGTTACTTACTCTTTGTCAGCCCTTCAAAGGAGACCAGGTCAAGAAACAGGCCAGGAATGTTGTTTATTTTAATTTTTTGAAAGCCTGTCCAAGTTTCTTTTTGTCCCATTTTTAAAGTAAACAAAATCACAGCAGCGTTGTTGTTTTCGCATGCTTCCTGCAATCCCTGGACTATGTAATCTCTCTACGTTCCTCCTCGACGGCTTGTTTCTTTGGCTTTCTCAGACCTTTTCCCAAAGTCATCTCTGTGATTCTTTACGTTCTGTCAGGTTAGACCCTCCCCCTAAATGATAAATGCTAATGCTAATTAAAAAACAACAACAACAACCAGAAGATAGGCACCACCTTACTTGGGAAACTTAAAAGTTTGCAAAAAAAGGACAAAAATACTTCCGTGGGGAAAAGTCTAAGACGCAATGCCTCCTAAAATAGATTGACACACAAGCAAATAAACATTCAATTAAATAATAATTCTGAGCACCTGTAAAAAGATGAACCTGGGAAACAGATGGTGGAAGTCATGGTGCCTGACAGAGTATCCCGGGAGAGAGACAACAGGTACTCCTCAAGTTATAACCATTTATTTAGTGACTGTTACAAAAGCACTGAAAAAAGTGACTTATGACTGGTCTTTGTACTTACGACAGCATCCACAGTCACATGATCAAAATTCAGATTGGCAACCGGCATGTATTTACAGTATGATGGTTATAGCATCCTGCGGTTGGGCAATCACCCTTTGCGAACTTCCCAGCCAGCTAAGTCAATGGGGGATTCACTTAATGACTGCCTCACCTAACAACTGCACTGATTTGCTTAACAATCAGGGCAAAAAAAAAAAAGCTCACAAAATCAGATATGGCTCACTAAAACAACTGCCTTGATGGTCAACGGAAATTCTGGTCCCAGTTTTGGCGGTAAATCGAAGACTAACTCTTTGGAAAGGAACATTCATGGCCGCCACATTTTGTGGTATTACAACCATCGCCACCCCAACAACTTCAACATTTTAGGAAAGAAGAAGCAGGGATTAAAAAATGAAGTTAGAAACAATGCAGGGGTATTTACCCTACCTTGCTGCAGATAATAGAAAGGGAAGCCGCTGAGGTGAGTGGAGTATTCTGGTAAGGCCACCAACCCTCCAGGAAGGGTGTTCCAGAAGAACTTTGGGCGTGATTCCTGATGAAATATCCGATCTTTTATTATCTAGCAAAGAGAAAAGTAAGTTGTCATTACACCCTAGAGCCATCTGCACCTGCTTGGAAATCTCCTGGATATGAGATCAATCTCAATCGTTGTTCTTGGCTCCAGTTAGGAAAAGCTAGGCCTGCGTAGCAAAGTAGCCACAAAGTCCAGATTCAAATTTGGGATGCCGTTCTTGACTTTTGGATGCCTCCTCTGTAATTCCAGTGTGAGGACACTGGTCACACTAGTTAGCTACCAGCAGGCATATTTTGTGCCTTAGTAAGAAACTGTAGATGAGACAGTCTGAAAAAGCTCTGAAAATGTTACATAAATGTTAAGTGTTACTATAACTATAAGCAAAGCATGCTAGGCTGAAATACACCTGGTGTAATCTCTATTCAGGAGCTAAGAGCTGGACTGAATAAAAATAGCAGTTGCCTTCAAAAATAAAAGCAAAGCAGTTATATTGCATTCATGGGGTACAATTATTTATATTTGATTTCTAATTTCTGAATGATCTCACGTGGGCTGGATGGGGACAGCCAAAGAGGCCATAAAATGCCCGGCTTTGCTATAGGCATTTACCTCTAGACAGGAATTTCCTGGCTAAAAACAACTTGAACAGGTCAAGAGGGGGAAAAAAGAGACTCCTCATTCACTTATATTTACATCTATATACCTAAAATATTTTTAAGCATTATATAATACAGTTGAGGCACTTCATGAGGAAGGTGAAACTTAAAAACTTGGATTTCCCTTCCCCATGTCTCCAAATTTTGGACCAGAGGGGGAAAAAAAAACAATTATGTTTTCCAAGGTGAGAGAGATTGTGGGATGGGGAGGTTGAAGAAGGAAGGGGAAAAAAATAAAAACATAAACCATTTGGCAGCTTATCTCATAAACGGCAACTCAGCCCAGGTGGTGAGAAAGCCAGGAGCAAACATTTCAAACCATTCAAAGAGATTCCACCTTTTACTGGCACCTATGAATTTCTTCCAGCTCTGGGTCCAAGAAAGGCAAGTTGCACTCATAGAACTGGAGAACTTCACCACCAACTTAAGTGGTATATCAAGCAACAGACACAGTGGTGGTATTTTACCTGTAGTTAAAAAAAAAAACTACCGGTTCAGCCAAACCGGTAGTAAAAAATCTACTGGTTTGGCCGAACCAGGAAGGTTGGTGGACAATATGCTGGAGGTTGGTCCAATAAACCCTGTGTGGTTTAGACCAGCTGTGTGGATCAGTGAAGTATCAGTGAAGCCATGGAGGGAATTACATGAAGTTTAACTTCACTTTCCCCTCCTTCTCTTCCAACTACTTAGCCCTGACCTAGAAGCAAAGAGAGAAGAACTACTGGAAGGAGGTTAATGGGCCATGGGGACACACCCTGAAGACTGACACAGCTTGACACACCTAGACCAACTTGAAAGCTAAAGGTTCCCACCTCTCTGTGGCTTCCTTTGGTCATCATACCAAGCCATTATGTGCTGAACATGCTGCATGAAGCAAACCAATTTGTTTCAGAGCTTGCTGCATGCACTCTTCAAGCCATGTTTTATGTCTTGTGTCATATGAATCCAGCCAATTCTAATTTATTTAGCAAACCACAGTTCACCATGGCATGTGATCTCAATCATAGAAACAGAAATAATTACAGATGAAATATTTGGGCAAACGATGGGCATACTTCTGCAGCTTACCTCAAGAGTGGTTTGCACAATCTTCTCCACAGAAGAAAAATAAGTTTCCCATAAAAACTGGGTTTGCTGTTGGAAGGCCAGGATTTTGTCACTGTTCAGACATCGGACCGTAGATGGAATCTGAGAGGAAGCAGCATGAACAGAAGATACAAAGGGGCAAATGCAGGAATTTTATACTGCTTATAAGTTTCAGTGAAATTATTAAAATGGATATAATTTTCCTTGTTCATATCTTATGCTACTACACTCTATAACTGAAATACAGTCTTGTTGTTTTGATGGAGGAAAGCATTAAGAGATCTTTACTTCAACAACAAAAAGTACCAAGGATGATGTGGAGACAGACAACTAAGCTGAACATTTGGTCTAGTGGTTAAAGCACCACACTAGGTTCTAGTTCCAGTCCCACCTTAGGCATGAAACCAATTTGCGTGACTTCGGGTCAATCACCAGGAGACTGTGAGTTCTACTTCTACCTTAGGCATGAAAGCTGGATGGGTGACATTGAGCCAGTTATTCTCTCTTAGGCCAACCCATCTCACCAGGGTTCTTAATATGGGTAAAACAGGAGGAGGAAGGAGTATTAAGAATGTACACTTTCTTTGGTTATTTGAAAATAATAAAAAGTGGGATGTAAATAAACGAACAAACTGCAGAACGGGCATTGAATAAACTATGTATGCATATTATAGCTTTTTATCCACAGAATCGATATTCCTGTGACCAGCAATGATCTATCCAGGATGCTCAGGGCAATGTCATAACAAAGGTTACAGTAATTCAGTTACCAGAATTCAACACATTACTAGATCAGTTTCTCTATTTAAATCAATTCTTAAGTTACCCATATCAAGAACAACAAATAAGTGAGACATGAACAATGAAAGGCCATATGAAAATAATGTAAAGAGGTAAATAAATCAACACCTCCGTATCAATAGTTGCATCCTACCTTAGTCGCTACCAGTTTGGTGGGTGATTGCACATGCACGCGTATACATGCCCCTAATGCGTGCCCCCTAAAAAGCCAATCAGCTGAGAGGATGAAGAAATGAAAAGCTAGGAGCAACCCTCCACCCCATGTGCTTTTCCGTCTTTTATCCTCTCAGCTGATCTGAGGCTTGTTTTCCTCCTCTCAGCTTGGAGGTGTTTTTTTTTTACTACCAATTCGGCCAAACTGGTAGCATACTGTTATGTAGATGTAAATAATGTAGTTGGGTTGACAATATATAAACTACAAATATATATGTTTGTAGCTTTAAGGAAAAATACTGTAATGTATTATGCTGTGTTCTGGTTGGTTGATTGTGCTGCAAGTTGCCATAAGAGGGAGCTATAGATCATGGTTTAATTCTCTTTCTCTTTTTCACTGATGATCTCTCTTGATACTTACTGACAGACTAGGGACTGATACTGACTAACCCTGTTTATTTTGATATTCTGTTGATATCGAAGGTTATTTGTTGTATTATGGTTTGATGTTTGTCTGCTGTAAAAGACATGGAACCGGTAAGAAGACTTTATAACTAGATGTAAGAAGACTTTATAACTGGATCTTTCTGGACTGTTAAAAACGTGTATGACATGGACTTTTTATTGGACCGTGCTATTTCTTCAAGTAAACATTAATACAACTTGTTCAACTCTGTGTGGCTGTATATTTCTACATAACTGTTCTCATAAACCATTTTCTGTGTGCATATCCTTTTTATACAAGGGTAACTCTGCACATATCCTAACCCCTACCACCACTGCTCCATCTTCTAAATAGTTGATGTACGTTATATAGGAAAATGAAAGCATCTTATGCAAAGGACAATGTTGTTTTCAGGAGGTTTTTAAAATTAAATAACAATGAACCAGGGCTCCAAAGCTCACCAAATGGAGCAGTGTTTCCCAACTTTGATGGCTTTAAGGTGTAGGAACTTCAATTCCCAGAATTCCTCAACCAGCATGTTACCTGCAGAAGAAGCCGCTCATCCCCAACAATGGATGATTTACTCCAATCAATCACTTCTGAAAATGGCAGCTCCCACCCATTGCTGAGCAGGACCGGGATGCACGCAGCCTGGATCAAAAAGAGAGAACAGAGCAAGGATCACCAGGTTGCAGGAGAGGAGAGAGAACATGAGCATGAGGTTCAAAGGATCTTCAGTGGTGCTTATAGGTAGTCCATGACTTACAACTGTAATGAAACATGCCATCATAGTTGTTAAGTTGTAATAGTGATAAAAGGGTCAGTTAGGTGCCCAAACTGATTTTATAACTTTTTTTTGTGGTGGTCATTAAACAAACACTGTGGTCATTAAGCAAAGCAGTGGCCCATACATATCCAGCAGAAGCAGAATAAAGTTATCTTTAGCCATTCTCATTTTGAAGTGGTGTTTTCCCTCTTCTCCCAATACTGTGGGATTGATCCATTAAGCTCCAACCAGAACGATAGAGTTGGGAATTGGGATCTACCCAACTTTGATTAGTTGCTTTTTGCAGCCATCTCAGCTGAATGGCAGGAGAGACTGGACTTCTGCAAAAGTAGCTGTCCATATAGGGTCTAACTGGCCCCATCAGCTTTTATATACGTGCTCTTTTTATATACAGTTTAGTTCTCTTTGGAAAAAACTGCTGGATCTGGGTTTCGGACAAGTGATGCACAAGTAAGTCTAAAGCAGGAAAGGAAGCTGTATTCTGTCACTTGTGTGTTGTTGGTTCTGTCACTAATGGATGCACAACATTTTTTTTTCTTTTTTTGCTGCTCCTGCCATCAAAAACGGCCATGCTATTTTTTATTATTGGCAATGGAGAGCCAGTTTCATTAAGGCACCAGGTTAGAAACCAGGAGATTGTGAGTTCTAGTTCCGTCTTAGCCAGCTGGATGATCTTAAGCCAGTCCCTTTTTCTCAGCCCCAAAAAGGAGGCAATGGCAAACCACTTCTGAAGATCTTGCCAAGAAAGCTGCAGGGACCTGACCAAGCAGTTGCCAGGAGTCAACATTGATTTATAAACACACATACACACTTACACATAATAATAATTGGCAGCAGGAACGTTTTTCTCTATTTCTTGCCCAGTCTGGAGACTTTTGCAGATGTAATCCAACTCCAGCGGTGCCAGTTCGCTTGCTATCAATTGCTCCTTCTTCCTAATTTCTTCTGCTCCCTTCCTTCTACCCCTCTTATCTGTTAGCCTGGCTATTTCTGAAAACAGGTCTGGCACCCTTTGGAAAGTGTTTGGGTGAAGTGCATGAGAACTTTAGCTCCCTTGGGTCTGTGACCTATCAGTTAGGCTATTTCTGAAGATCAGTCTAGCACTCTTACAACACTAGGAAACTCACCTAAAACAATTATTTCATCTGTTTGTTTCATCTAGTAGAGGAATGGGAAGGAGCTCTAGTAAACTGGGACAAGTTTGGAAAGACAGTTCTCAAGAAGTAGAAAGAACTTTTCTTAGAGCTGGTTGCACAGTCAGCCAAAGGTTTAGACTGGATGTGGCATTTTTATCTACCTATTGAGTCCTTCTCAAGGACCTGAGATAGGTAGACGTTGTTTGAGGGTGTTAAAGGTATTATTGCAAGATTGTTATTAACCTTTTTATTACGCTTATAAATCTGGATTGTTCAAACACAGGAATTTTTCTATAATACGATTAGAGATGATTAACATTCCATTGTTTAGATAACTTAGAGTACTGGCAAGAGAGGAAGGAAAGAAAAATATTCGATTCATGTTAATTACAATTTAGAATGTCAACATCACAAGCATAAAATGATTTGCCTCTTTTAATTAAAAGTTGAGGATAATATTGAAAAAAGAACCACTGCAACTCACATCAAAGCATTTATTATATAATCTTTGACTTACAAGCACAATTGAGGCCAAAATTTTTGTTGCTAAGCAAGACAGTTGTTAAGTGAGTTCTGCCCCATTTTACAACCTTTCTTTGCACAGTTGTTAAGTGAATCACTACAGTTTTTAAGTTAGAAAGTGAATCAAGCTTCTCCATTCACTCTGCTTCTCAGAAGGTGGCCTGGGACACAGCAACCCTCAAAAATACATGTCAGTTACCAAGAATCTGAATTTTGATCATCTGACTATGGAGATGCTCCAATGATTGTAAGTGAGAGAAACAGTCATACGTCATTTTTTTCAGTGCCATTGTAACTTCAACTGTTCATTAAAGGACTATCTGTACAAAGAGCTACAGTGGTGCAGTGGTTAAATGCAGTACTGCAGGCTCCTTCTGCTGACTGCCAGCTGCCTGCAATTGGGCAGTTCAAATCTCACCAGGCTCCAGGTTGACTCAGCCTTCCATCCTTCCAAGGTGGGTAAAATGAGGACCCAGACTGTTGGGGGCAATAGGCTGACTCTGTGTAAACCGCTTAGAGAGGGCTGTAAATCTATTGCTAAATAGAGCTTTTGATCTTAAACAGAACACCATACTTAATATTAAATTTTCCTTATATTGTTCCTTTGTGTTTGTGCAAAGGTGTATGTGTGTATGTGCGCATGTATTTACAAGAAATAGAAACAATTCTATGTCAAACCTGTGACATAGAGCTAGTGTGGCTTGATATAGTGGTGCAGAGGATGGCCTAGAAACCTAACGCCTCCTTTCAGCATTAAAGCCGACTGGGCGACTTTGGACCGGTCCCTCCCTGTCAGACCAACCCACCTTGCAGGGTTGTTGTTGTGGGGAAAAGAGGAAGTGGGAAGATTAGGTATATTCACCACCTTGGGTTATATATAATATACTTCCAACGTTAATAACCTTTTATTCCTCAACATTATCCATTCTTTCATCCATGTTAAAGCCATGACTTGATAATATATTTCCCAATTGGGTAATCCAAATCCTCCTCTAGTTCTAGCATTCTATAACATGATTTGCAAATGGGTTGTCATGCATTCTTGTGGTACAGGAGAGGTAAAACACATGAGCTATATATAATATAAAAAGATGGGATAAAAATCTCAGAACAATACAGTAATAATAACCATGTACCTGCAAAGCTTCTAGGAACCGGAAGGATCCCAAACGTCTCCCTCGGGGGATGACACAAAAGGTAGAGTTGTGCAAAAGCTCCTGATAATCAAACCTGGGAAAAGACAACACAAAAATGTCGTGAAGCAGTGGCAATCGTTCAGCGCTCTTGTTCTTTTCCCTTCATTTAATTCCCATAAATTTAAATAATTTATGAATTTTCCAACAGGATGGAACTTTGGGGCATGAAATGAATCCTTTCTCATATTGGATAGTTTTGGATTTCCCAGTGGTGTCCCATTCTAATATTATCTAACAGATTTAACAGATAACCAGAGTTGGAAGGGACCTTGTAGGTCATCTAGTCCAACCCCCTGCCCAAGTGGGCGACCTTACACCATTACTGACAAATTGCAGTCCAATCTTCTTGAAAGTCTCAAGTGATGGTGCTCCCACAATTTCTGAGCGCAACTTCTGTTCCCTTAGTTGATTGCTCTCACTGTCAGAAAGTTTCTCCTTATTTCCAGGTTAAATCTCCACTTGTTCAGTTTCCATCCATTGTTCCTTGTCTGGCCTTCGGGTGCTTTAGAAAATAGCTTGACCCCTTCCATTCTGTGGCAACCCCTCAAATATTGGAAGACTGCTATCCTGTCTCCCCTGGTCCTTCTTTTTACTAGACTAGCCAAGCCCAGTTCCTGTAACCATTCTTCATATGTTTTAGTCTCCAGTCCCCTAGCCTCCAGTCTGAGCAATATCCAAGCAAATTTACTGTTTCCAACTGTTTGGGATTATCATCATTTCCAAACCAATCACCCTCTCTTCTCTGAGAGCTTTGTAATGTGATAGGTTTACCCCAGAGGTGTCCAACCTTGGCAGCTTGAAGACTTGTAGACTTCAACTCCCAGAATTCCCTAGCCAGATTGAGAAGTCTATATGTCTTCCAATTGGACATCCCTGGTTTACACCAAACTACGTTCAGAGCCACGAAGAACTTCCATTGAGAAATTCCATTGAGAAATTCCTCGGAAGGCAGAGTTACCTCAGGCTAGGTCTGAACTACATTTCAAACGTCCTTTTCATAAGCACAACCCAGGGCAAGGAATGGATTTGGGGCCTGATACAAAAAGCCCTGTGTGCCAAAACTGAGACCAGAGGTGGAGGACAGAAATTTCCACTGTGTTCTGTCAAAGAGGCTGACTTTTCCCTCACCACAAATGTACAAACATCCTTAGTAATGAGAGGAGGCAAATCCACAAAACACCTTTGCATGGGGGATGATTTCCCCCAGGATGTAGGCAAGAAGATTTTTCTATCAACACTCCTGCTTTCTGACTTGCAAACAGAAGCTAAGGTGTCTATACACACAGCCAACAGTGGCTCCCGCTTCAGGCAGCTTTGGGATATGCCCATAAATTATTTCTTACTTCCAGAGACTTATTAGTCACCCTGGAACCCAGCCATAAAGCAGGAAGATAAAAATCCATGTCAAATCAAAGGAAGAACACACCATAAAAAGAATCGGGGCAGGGGCAGGAGATGAGATGGGGACAGTAATTGTTGGATAAGGAGCAGATGCTTTAAAAAAAAACCCACATCTTAATATCTAAAACCATTTGGAGATACATGCTCCCCAAAACACACTGTAGTGCAGGGACTGAAAAAAAAAATACGAGGAATGAAAGGCCTGAGAAAGTGGAAAGATCCTCAGTAAATGCAGAAAAGAATAACAAGGGAGGTGCCAGGCAGGTCTCTCGGGGGAGGATATTCTGTACCTCTGCGGTTATGACTGAAAAGGACTATTCTCAAATAGGCCTCCACGATGTCTCAGTGAAGAGCAAGGCCTCTGCTGATGTGGGAAGCTGCGGTCCCAATCCATGCCCAGGTTTTAAAAAAACAGTCTTTCTAAATAGGTAGGAACTCAAATGCTCATTCAAAGTTATTTTCCTGTATATACGGTATATATTTTTTACCAAGGGAAAAGGAGGAGGGGGAAGGAGGAGGAGGAGGAGGAGGAGGGAGGAGGAGGAGGAGGAGAGGAAGAAAAAAGGAGAAGGAGAGGAAGAAGAAGGAGAGGAGGGGAAGAAGAGAAGGAGGAGAGGAGGAGGATAAGGAAAAGGAGAAGAGGAAGAAAGGAGGAGGAGGAAGAGGAGGAGAAGGCGGAGAAGGAAGAAGGAGGGGGAGGAGGAGGAAAAGAAGAGGAGGAGGAAGAGGAAGAGAAAGAAGAAGAGGAGAAAGAAGGAGAAGGAGAAGGAGAAGAAGAAGAAGAAGAAGAAGAAGAAGAAGAAGAAGAAGAAGAAGAAGAAGAAGAAGAAGAAGAAGAAGAAGAAGAAGAAGAAGAAGAAGAAGAAGAAGAAGAAATAATAATAATTCTTTTGCATTGTGGTGGTACTGGAGGAGGAGGGGAAGGAGATATTCTGGTTTTTCTTTTGCAGGGATGTAATAAGACTTGCCTGGTTCAGTGGAGAGGCCAACGGATGTATATGATGTGAATGTCCTGCCTTTCATTGTACCATATAATCACTTCTCTGGCAATCTGCAACTTTCTTGGCTTTCTACACTACCATTTAGCTATTTACTTTGACTGGTTGGCTTGCTGATTCAGGAACTCAGGGGGCCCATCCATTGCGTTCCCTCTTCCTAATTTTCCCCAAAACATCAACCCTGTGAGATAAATTGCACTGAAAGAGAAGGATGATCAAAGCTCTTATGGGAGCTGTGACTAAGTGGGCCTTCAGGTTCCTTATCCAACAATGTCATCACTATATAACACAGTCTTTATTACAAAGGAAAGGTATTGGAACAGTGTTTCTCAGCCTTGGTGACTTTAAGCCGTGTGTACTTTAGCTCCCAGAATCCTCCAACCAGCATGGCTGGAGCATGGCTGGAGCATGGCTGGAGGATTCTGGGAGCTGAAGTACACACGGCTTAAAGTCACCAGGGTTGAGAAATAGGGCTTTTCGAAGAAACTCTCCTGAAGGATTTTTAGTAGTTTTCATCTCTATTTAGGAAGAGTTACACCTATGAAGAATTGCTGGAGAATTTCTGCTGCCTCTGGAGAAATTGGAGGAATCAATTTATCCAATCATAAATTTGGGGAGGATTTTGAAACGCCATGTGAGCTCCTCTGCTCTCCACTCTCCATCTTTTCCCTATTAGGCCCAGATTTTGTGAGATGTTTGAGCATGGACAATATATTTTGTTTTGCACAAAACTTACACCTGCTGGCTGGTATGCCTTCTGTAAGATATTCAAGAAGCCTGTGATCATGCTGTGCTAAATAAATTCACCTGTGGCACATAATAGATACCCTACAATGCATTTACAGCTTTTACGAAATGTCTCCTTCACTAAAAGAGGCCATGTTCTCTATTGCTTGGGGAATATATTTTTCACGCAAAGTAATTAATTTGTATTATGAGATAAAGATGAAAAATCTGTTGCTCTCCAGATGTTACTGAGGTATGGTCATTCCTCATGTTTGGCTTTGGCTGTCTGAAACTGCTGGAAACCAAGGGATAATTACACAGTTTCCCTGAACATAAAACCTATCCTGAAAGTAAGTCCTAGCTTGATTTTTATACGTGCGCCCAATATAAGCCCTATCCCAAAAATAAGCCCTAATTAAGATCCCATCCATTCCAGAATGCATGGGTAAAAATTAAGCTAGGGTGAGGATGGGGGGGTGGAGCTGCCCTAATACCTACCTTTGGACAGTGGTAGCCAGGCTTCGCACACCCCAACATCTGCCTTGCCAGCCCATTTCATCTGCAGCCGGCAAGGTTGGCAAGGCTTTCTTGAAGACCTCTGTAGCTGGTAACAAAGCTCTGGATCGATCCAGAGTTCTGTTATTGGCTGCAGAGGCCTTCAGGAAAGTGTTGCTGGCTGCAGAAGACGTTCCTGAAGGCCTGACAGTGAAAAGGAAGCGGAGGGACACAAGTGAGCATTGACATCCCCTGAAAATAAGACCTAGTGCCTTTTTTGTGGCAAAAAATCTAAGACAGGGTCTTATTTTTGGAGAAACATGGTAGGTAGATGAACTGACTTAAAAAGTACAAATCAAATGGATTTTTCCGCTTATGTCTGTTCTCAAACATTCTCCCCAGAAAGAAAGTTTCTGGCTCCCCTGCAACTTGGTGGCCTGCAATCTAGTATCTGTCCACGGCCTCCTTGAAGTTCAATGGGATGAAAGAGAACTTTCTGGAAGCTATAAAAGGAGAGGTAAAGGCACTGTAGGGAGCCTATAATCACAGTGGAAAATCCAATGTTTGCATTCGGTTTAGAGACACATCATCTTGTGTGCTCCGCCAATCAGCAGCACAGCGGGTCAGAGAACAAAGAAATTAGTGTGATCCAGCATGGAAGGGTTCTCTAACCAGGAGGTGGCCCCCCTTCTGGTCCAAAACTTCAAGAGAAAGTTAAGGATGGACAAATTGTTGAGCTAAACTCTCCACCCTGCTCTGTAATCTCACACCAGTTCTCTAAAGTTGCCTATTTGCCAACATTTGCTGGGTGGACCACCGGCTTGTTCAAACCATGTTAGGAATGTAGAATTTGAACAGCGGCTTCACACCTCAGGCTTTCCAACCAGCTAAGAGCTTGTTTTGCTGAGCTGTGAATCTGAGGCATTTTCTTATGCCACAAAAATCCAAACTACGGCAAGTCTCTTTGCTGGGTCAACTCAAATGTGGTTACAAATATGGGCAAGCCCTGGAAATCAATAAGTTATGAAAAGTTATGATATTTTTATCTAGGATTAATGACAAATAGGAGAAGAGACATGGCGCCAATGACTTAGCAAAGTGACACAAAGGTGGGAAGGGAAAAGACTCAGCGAAAAAACAGAACTAAGCAAAAAAGTAAAATTAAATGTAAGGCAATCTCATTTTGATTTCTGACTATACTTACTTTTTTAAAACTTACTGAGTCATTACTTTGTCTTCTTTCCCTCTTTTCTCGTTAAAATAAAATGATTTTTGTTTGGTAATGACAAGGGATACAAATCTGCCAAACGGTTATCATTGGTTTAGGGCAGTGGTGGCTAACCTTTTTTGGGCTCCTGTGCCAAAAATTGTGCGTGTGCTTGCATGCTCCCATTCTCATGCCAGCACCCAGAAG